GAAATCAATCAAAATCCACGACGGCGACTGAACTTAGTATTTTTCTTTGCTATTGCAATGAAATTTGGCAAACATGTTTAAAATACAAAGATAACAGTATAAAAAATTTCCACTGTCTGCATTTTTCTCAAAATGGGGGAAATTTAAATATTTCGCTGTTTAGTTTTGAAATATTTAAATGGTAACCATTTTGGAAAAAATTGCACTCAAAATTCACTGGTCCCCTACATGAACATAAAAAAATTAGACCAACAGATTTTGGTAAAGCATTAAAGGTCGATCAGTATCAGATGAATGGTCATTTTCAGTCAGTGGTGAGTGGCCGTATACAATATTTCATAGCTGACCCCTACGCAGCTGATTGTGTGCATTGGCGTACGTAGAAATGTATTCGGGGGGGGGGGGGGGGGAGTAAACAAGTTCGTGGCACATACAGTCACCCAGTGCCTACTAGAAGGGGGGGGGGGGGGAAGAAATAGTAATTGGGTTGCAGGTTGCTGATGCTGGTTGTCATTTATCTATTTATTATTGTACAGGCGAAAAAGATTAGATTAGAACGGTATTTTATTTCTTACTGCTGACAGGCCCCTTTATTGCTTTTGCTTTAATTAGTCAACGAAAACTTTGAATAATAGGTATATTTATGGGCAAAAAACCAATTTCGACAAAAAATTCAAAGGGCTGTAACTTTTGATCTAGTAGTCCGATCTTGGAACTGTTTGGAATTATGGATTCTACAGGCCACATTCTATAAGAAAATATTTTTTTCCAGTCGATCTGAGACAATTTTTTTTCTGGGCAAAAAAAGGCAGTAACCTTCCTTTTTTACCAAAAATCGACTGCACCAAAATTTTTCGGGAAAAAACTTTTTCTTATTAATTTGGGTGCGTAGAATCCAAAACGATTCGTACTTTTTCGATTAGACGTCTCCATCAAAAGTTATGGGCAAAAAACCAATTTCGACAAAAAATTCAAAGGGCTGTAACTTTTGATCTAGTAGTCCGATCTTGGAACTGTTTGAAATTATAGATTCTGCATGTCACATTTTATAAGAAAATATTTCTTTCTGGTCGATCTGAGACAATTTTTTTTCTGGGCAAAAAAAAGGCTGTGTATTCTTTTTTACCAAAAATCGACTGCACCAAAAGTTCTCGGGAAAAAACTTTTTCATATTAATTTTGGTGCGTAGAATTCTTAACGATTCGTACTTTTTCGATTAGACGTCTCAATCAAAAGTTATAGACTAGAAACCAATTTCGCCTAGAATTTTTCTAAAGCATAGCATAAAATCTCAAGATGTATAATTCCGCAAGGTTGAACCGCCTACAGTTTTTCTAATGATAAAGTGTGGAATAAAATCTTAATTTCGCAAGCTAATTCCGCTTACAATTTTTGTAAATGAATGGCATAGTATAAAATCGCAATATGTATAATTTCGCGAACTAGAGCCGCCTACAATTTTTCTAAATCAAAGGCTTAGTATAAAATCTAAAAATCTATCATTTCGCAAGCTTTAGCCGCCTAAAATTTTTGTAAGGTTAAAGCATGGGATAAAATCTGTAGATGTATAATGCCCATAAAATACCAGAAATGAAACATAAAACCAGTATTACTTAATTTATCATTTTTATACATATCTATCAATTGTTGTATTCGCGCACTAGGTAAATCCTCTATGTGTTACTCAATATATTGTGATAATTTACTAATTGTACATTTTTCCATAACGATATACCGAACTCATAACGTAGTCTATTTATAAACTATATTTTAAGACCAAAATAATTTGGTTAGTAGAAATTGCATAAGTTTACTATATTTAAAAGCGAAATGGAAATATGAACAAACCTATTTAACATTATCCATTATTTCTGTAAGGACTATTCGCCACATGTGCTCGTCTTCTTGCAAACAGCAATACATGGTACAATGTCCACTTTAAAAAATTACTTGCAGATGTGTGCGTAGTAATCTGGAATAAAATAAGAAAGAACGAGGAATTAGTTCACCAAAATTGTATCAAAAATATAATAAAAGACAGTCAAACGTGCAAGAGCGTGCAAAATGACAATAAGAAAGGAAGGTATTCAAGATAAGAGGGTCATCTCAATATCTCTTTTATTGAGCGAGATTCGAAAAAAATGGTGTATGCGACATCACGACCTTTCCATGGCATATTGAAATTTCCGATATTACTTTTGGTGAAACCGGAAATCGATACAACTTTTGTTTTTCAATTGCAATGTCTTTGAAAAGAGCAATCAATTTGCTGTACGACAACATAAAATATACATATGGTTGATATACAAAAAAATTAAGAAATACCTGATTCAATATTTAAAAAACTTATGAAATTTAGCATGCCGTGTGCCATATCACATAGAAAAGACCTACATCAACTTGTTCAATGTTTCGTATTGAAAATTTTCTTTTACGGGATACGATCTCCCCGTGACACACAACAGATCGCATCCTGACAGCACACAGTATTCTAGATTTCATAAATTTTCTAAATATTGAATCACGAATCTTTCCATTTTTTTGCATATCGACCAAACGTATGTTGTCGTACAGAAAATTGATTGCTCTTTTCAAATATCTTAAAAAAGTATTGCATTTGAAAAACAAAAGTTGCCTCGAATTCTGGGTTAACCGGAAACTATACCGGAAGATTTAATATGCGATCGAATAGATCGAAATGTTATATTTGACACATTTTTCATATCTCGCCCTCTTATCTCGAAAGCACTTTATTTCGAAACGATATACTCTAAAAAGTCACAAAACATTTGCCTTTATCGAAACTTCATACATTAGGTACATACATATTACACAATATAGTTATCGACAGATCAGCTATTATCAAAACTTATGGAAATAAATTATTATTATTATTTTTATCAAACGTTTCAAGTAACAAAATGTACCTTTTTAAAAAACATGCTTTGACAAAACCATTTTTGTGAGGTGCATACTCGTTATAGAATTATCTACTCTTAAAGAATATAAATTGCGAAAGTAAAACCTACTTACAGTTCATAGAAACGGCCGAGGGGCTTCCATTTGGTCGTAGAGATAGAAGCCGTGTACGTATTTGCAGGCACAATCTGCAATAAACTATAATTAAAATAATTAGTTAAAATAATAAAATTTCACTTTCCGTAACGAAAGATGGGTAGGTTGGGCGTGTTCATAACCTTACATGATTACACACATTGAATTAAAATATTTTCGTTATCATAAAATGCATAAATTCACAACACTTTATTACATAAAGGAACCACAAAAATATACGCACTTTTAAGGGTTACTACCGTATGTATACGTCAATTGTAAAAATAAGACTTATACATGGATTCGATTGAAGTCCTGAATTATGAATGCCTCTGATCACCCTGCCAAAAATCTTTAAAAAATAAAAATAAAATAAAATAATCATGTAAGGTTCTGGACACACCCAACCTACAGTCATCCAAGGAAAATGAAATTTCATTATTGAAGATTATTTTAACTATTTATAGTTTATTGCAGATTGCTCCTACAAACACTCATGAGCCTTCTACCACTACGATCCAGAGGCAGTCTCTTGAGCATTTTGATAAAATGTAAGTAGGTTTTACTTTTGCTCGCTTTACTTCTTAAAGAGTGCGAAATTATACAGATAACGAGAATGCACCTATTCAAAACATCAAAGCTTGTATAACGAACTTTTGTTGAAAAGATCAACTGCTGTTACTTGCCATAATTAATAGTTACTGCTCTGTGAGTCGATATTATTGTATAATATGTGTGTGCTGCTGTGACATTTCGTTTAGAGGGTATGATTTCGAAAATTACTTTTCCTATCGCCATATTGCGTTCGTTTGCACGTTTGACTTTATTTTATGTTATTTTTGAAAATAATTTCAGTTTCTTTCTTATTCTGGTCCACATCATTATGTACACACATGCGAGTAATTTTTACTGATGTGTATTGCTGTTTATGGAAGAACAGTACACGTGATATGCACTTATTATAATACTAATTGTATGATCATTCTATGGCAAATGCAACAATTTGCATAATTTTTATGACATAGCACTTGTTGGTAGTTACAAAATTTTATTCAAATCAATCAACTTTAATGAGTTGATCAAAATAAATTTCTAGTTTAAAAAAAATAATTCAGTTAATTCAATTAAATTATCCAAATCGCCAAATTAATCAACCAATCAGAGCACGGACCCGCAACTCAAACCCACAATTAAATAAATCAGTGGTTAAATGAACACTGACGCCACGAAGGCGCGAATCAGACAGAATTTCATAATTCCTGAAACGACCACTTGTACACGTGGACGATACAGCGAATTAAATTTATTGACCGCGATTAAACCGCCAATTAAACTAACGAATGTTTACAATAATCCAAAATAGTAGAAAAAGTAGATCTACTAGTATTAAATGAATCCCAGGCAAGGCATGGCTGTTTGTGATTGTATAGTGGGTTGAGTGGGAAGAGTAGCAAATTGCTAACACTCCGCCCACTATAAAATAAAGGCAATAAAATAAACAAATTTTAAAAAATGAAGCATTTTGTAAACCAGAGCCGCCCATACTTTTTCTGAGTACGAGTATATTAGATTTGGTGAAAGAAATTTTTGTAAATTTTGAACCGCGTATAGTAAAAGTGTTCAATAAAATCTGTTGATTTGGTAGAAAATTTTGTATACCTGAGTCGAAGAATTACAAAATAAATACAAAAGCAATAGGTTCAACAAATTCAAAAAATATCGACGAAAAAGAATGATTGATTAAGTAGTTCATCTGTGGTAATCTACCTCGTATCCTCATGACGTTCTACTTTAAACCAGACTCAGAAGAGAATCAATTGCATATTTTACACTACATAATGTGGTTTGATTGGTTTTTGTTTTCTTCTCATGTAGGCTACATATTGAATCATAAACCGTTTGTTTTCGTGTTAGTAATAAAATCAACTAGAACTCTAAATACTCACCGGAGCATTTAGGCACGGACAGGTGCAGTGATGTGCGGATCGTACACTCTCCCTGGAAACCGATCTGACAATTTTTAAAGCTGATGTTGGTGTTTGAGATGTGCGCCGTTGTTCCAAAGCCCCTCTAGGAGAGGTATGTGGGGCTAATTGGAAAGCATTTGAAGAACTTCTGTTTCTTGTTGGAATATTTGTTAATAAGTTCTGTTTACATCCCTTCACGTCCAGTCTGAAAAAAATAAAAACGGAAAACTAAAAATAGATATATTTGAAGAATTTGAAGAAACTAAAGAATCAGATACACTCGAAGCACTTCCAAGTGTTCGAAGTATTAAATAAAACACCTTGATCACCAAGAATATTTCCAAGAGTTTAAACATTTTCATGAATATAATCTAATCATTTACTTCAATACTTTTTTGTTTTATAGTAATTCATCCTAGATATATTTTTTTTCAAAGAACTAATAATAAACAGAGTAAATTCAAAATGTAACCACTTTAGAGAATCATCCTTCAAATACTAGAGATCTATCAAAATCCTTACTCCTAAACTATTACAACTGATTACACTGATCCCCTGTGCGCACCTTCATGACTTACTTATTCCCGATCCTCTTATGGGAATGCGTTGTCCTGTTTTTTAGTATTATCCTTACCTAATACCCTTTTAGTCAATGACTTTGATAAATAACTTTCATGTGTGCAAATAAACAATTTTGAAGTTAATGACACTTCGTAACCTGACTCATGACTATGCATACCTGATTTCCCTAAGGCTGACTGGGTTTCAACCTAGAAGGCTATTGCATTTAATAAAAATCTATTTGCAGTACAGTGATCATGGATGGACATTCTAAGTAATAGTGTAAAAATGCACGAAATCGATTTGTAATTTGCACTTGCGCTGTATACATGATATATAAGCTACCTTCCGAAATTATCGTTCGTAATTGCACATAAAATGTGTGGAAAAATTGCGTTACCGGGTAAATATTAAATGTGAGGCTTAATAGTTTTGGGAATAGGAGGCGTTAATGCGGACTCTGAACACAGGTTTCTTCCTTTTCATTTGACTTTCATTGCTTTCACAAATTTAACGTGAAAAATACTTTCCCTCTTAATGGAATAATAAAAGGGAATTGTCTCAGTCCCTTGTAATTTTCTAAATAAATTGTCTTATTTTACTCATTTCCGCGGTTGGTGTTTTTTTTCACACGTGGAAATGGGAAATTTATTGGACGATTTCACCAGATGGTTCCTCCGAGAAAAAGATATTGAGGTAAAGAATGTAATTTATTGCTTGTATTTTTGTCCTCTTAAATTTTATGAGGGCAGTGCGGTAGTTGAGCACGTTATTGCAAATCAAAGTTACTGTTAGGATTCGTATTCCTAATTTAAAACGAGCGTTGCGTGTTCCAACGATCAAAGCTGCGCTAAAATTTCTAATTTTATAAATGAGCCTCATTGAACTTGTTGCTTGCTGAGATTTTTGTGATACAGGATTTTTCAATCATTATAATTTGGCGCACCGCACAACGCACCGTAAAACCCTTGTCACGATTATTCGCAATTATACAGAAAAATTTATACGAATCCGATTTTTAATTAAGTTTGCTGTGAAATTATGACATTTGGTTAATTTTCTTTAAAAATGTATGAGTGAGTGGCGTGTGATTTCCATTTGACCTGATCCTTCTAACAAAGATTCAAAAGTAATGTTTGAAACATCCGAGTTACATAGAGACAACGAAAAAATTTTTAATATCCACTTAGGTATTAGTAAGGCATGGGACAGTCTTTAAGGGTCAGTCGCACAAAAATATTGCAACGTAAATTAAGTTACGTCGTTTATAACAATTAATAAACAATAATTTTACAAGAGCCTTAATATGGATTAATTTACAGCAGTAATTACAATTTATCACTCACAATTTATAACATGACAAAAACGCATCGATGTAAGAACTGACTGAATACAGTCTGCTTATTGAATAAACAATCATTGTTCTAAAAGGATTCAGAATGTTCTACAATAAACGCGTCATTTTTGGGTGTTTCGAACCCTGGACATTGCATTTCCCGATAATTTGAACCGAAATAATTCAGATCCGGACAATTCGCACTCTAGAAATCCCCCTCCCTCCACCTCCTCGTAAATTCGCTCCCAATAAATTCAGTGGAAGAGTAACCCTTTCCAATAATTTCACTCCCTGAACATATCAATGTGGTCAATTTCCCACTCACAGAATTAGCATAAGGAGAAGTTCTGTAAATCTTTCCTTTATATCTTCGCAATATCTATTTATATGAAATGTGTATATATGTGGTCAAGAGAAAATGCTGAAGGTTATTTCTACATTCATCGCTAGGGGAAAGCACTCCCAATGCGGGATTTTCTAAAGTTTGAATGGAATGAATGGCAAGGAAGGTTAATGGGGTCATAAAAAATGTTATATTTTCATAAACTTTGCTTTGTTTAACAAGCCAATCCAGTCTATACAGGTATTCGTAGCCTCTAAATGGATGAACTCGACTAGTGCTGTAGAGTTTATTTCTCCAAACATTTACATAGAACGGTATATTTACACTTGAATACAATAAATGGTTATGAAAACACCTACATGTGAGAAAAAAACGTATGTCGATATAATTAATCCATCAAACAAAAGAAAGTAATAACATTTTTTAATAAACACATTTAGCCCTATTTATTTCCCTTTGCATAATATAAGCATTTTGTTTCGAAATTTCCCGTTTTTTACGCTACCTTCCATTACTGAGATACAACCGCGCGCCATTCTCTTTTGGTCACCCAGTGTAAATGTAGTGCTTTACAGATGCTAATTGTGCGAAATTGTCCAGAAATTTAAATGTGCAGGGGAGCGAAATGTCTGCAACTTATCCGGATGCGAACTACCCAATGCGAATTGTCTGAGTAAGAGTGCGAAATATCTTCAGCAAATGCATACAATTTTAGACTTTCCCACGATCCGATAAGTGTCAGCGGATGCGATAAAGCGTCTGCATGCATGACAAGATTCGTGAGTGTCTGGAAGCAATCATACACCAGGGAATAGAAACAGCCTCCTGGAGTCATTGGTTACCCATATAGTAGCACGAAAATGGGACACACCATACAATACCATGAAAAAATAGAACGTTAAGAGAAGGAAATCGAAACATATTGCGATTGTGAAATAATTCCAAAGGAAACAAAAAATGGTCTTAATGACTTGGACCGATTTTTCGAAATATTTCGATTTCATTTGGTAAAAAAATTCTATCTCAAGACAAGACCCCAACTTTCTTACGTTTTATGGCTCTATGTTAAATTTTTCAATTTAAATTATATACAATGGTAGAGAGTGAGCCTTTTCTTCGCATTTCCCGGTGGGCCTTTTGGGGTCTAGTCCGACACTGTAGGCTCTAGAACGACTTTGCGAAATATATGAAACTTTTATTAGCAACATTATCGCAAGAAGCGTCATTTGCTCGAGAGTTTGAAGCTCTGCGTGCTAAGAGTGCCGTGAACTCCAAAAGTTCTATATTTTCGCTAGACCCATTCATAGACAGTCGCGGCATATTACGAGTTGGTGGTATTCGTTATGCAGATTTACTATATCGTAAAAAGCACCCTATTTTGATTAATTACGAAGACGGTCGTAAAGTACGAACACGAAAAAATGCTGCATGCCGGGTATGAAAAATTGAAAACTAATACGGTTGAATGGCGTAAAAATTTTTTTCCTACAAAAAACGTTAATACATTTTTGCTCTAAAATAATTTGGGGAGCCAATAATCGTATATTATGAATTTTACATTGAAATTACCATACAGTTTTTTTAAATTGCAGCTGATAATTAAAAGTAACAAAATATACAATCCACACGAGGTGCGCGACCTATCATTGTATTTCAGCACTTTCATGCTACGACAAAAAATGATAAATTCATTGTAAAACACTTCAATTAAAACAGAATTTTTTAACAACCTAACATCAACCCCAATTAGAGAAACGTGTTAATAATTTATTAATAGTGCAAGAAACTAAATACAGCACATACTTATAAATTTCCAACGGGCCATTATGATCTACAGGCTAGGTGGCAATCAATCGCCCCCCGCCCCCCCCCCGTGCCAGTCCGCCCCTGAGTGTGTAGTGTGTATCCCTCACAAACCCCAAATCTTCGCAATTTCCTACCGAGATTGAACAATGTAATTCATTTAATGTCGAATGTCAGGCTTCCATGTAATAATTAGGTATAGGCACAGATTAACTACGGTGGTATAGCTGTTCTCGTACCTAGTCAATATTTACTGCAAATGGCATTTCAATAACTGGGAACAGTTCCTAAACTTCAACTTACTGTCTCGATAGCTAATCCTTATATGAAAATGGGTTATACGTTGGGCAATTAAAATCGATGTCATTACGTGACTGCAAGTATTACTTGCACAATTAGTGCGATGCTTTTGCTCACTGCACGAAATAGACGATATTAATTACCTATGATGGCATGGATAAAAGTATAATTCCGCATGCAGGCGATGTCAGAGGGTTGTCACACGTAATCATTAAAATCTAACCTGCGACTTTCTTAATCCATCAAGTTGACAACTTGTGCACTGTCCAATCACTCAAAATTAATCATCGGCTGTTGAGTGACACATGACTTCATAATTGAACGAGAAAACTTAAGAGAAAGGTCCCACGCACTTCACTGGAAAAGGATTTCTATATACCTAATGCGAATAAACTTTCTTATAGTCATTTGTACATCTCAAAAGTTTTTAGCATCTGTACATTTGCAGACTCCAGTTGATCTTTCACCTTCTTTTTGTTGCAAAAGCGGATATGGTAAAAAATACGATCATTTATTTTGTCTCCATATACAATACCCCAATACAACGCACGTTTCACAGATCATATTTAGGCACTTCAGGTCGAAATTCTTGGGGATCCACAGATACGCCCGTTAAAGGAATTCGGAGGCACTTTTTCTCACAATTACAGACAATGCGACCTAAATGTTTGGCGTACAAAACGGCAAGAAGTACAATATTACTGCTTGATATAAATTTAATTCATTTAAACACGAACATGTCTTTATAAGCACGTTACTTAAAATAACGAGAACTAAAATACAAATTAAATTATTCCGACCTTTTTACCCCGGCCTAGCAACAAATTCAATTATGATAAATGAAACCCCTTAGGTTATGTGCTTAACAGTATGTATCTAGATTTTCCTTCGTAAATGTTACCATTAACATGTTATTATATTATACCAATTTCCATAAAAAAAAATATGTGGGAGAAGATACAGGCGAAACCCTTATAAGATCACAAAACACACGCACAACTCTTCATACGTGATTGCAATAAACACCATTGCAACCGTTTATAACAAAAATTATACTGAAATGACTTCCGCAAAGACAATTTTGCAAATTCAAAGAACTAACTAACGGAATAATATCAAAAAGCAGATAAGTGCATAACTTTCTACGCATACCTTTGGAACGGAGTGAAAAACTTTTACAAAGCACACAAAGGATAAGGTACGAATCTACGTTTCACACAACCGCGGTAAAAGTAAAACTTCCACCTTCCACGGTTAGCTTTGCAACAAACTCAGCGTCTTTTGAAAGGCCGATTTTGTTTCAAATGCTAAGATTACAAATTCGCCTCGCCTTCAGATCGAGGAATAGAAAACATCATCACCATAATTTAATATTGCCCAAAGACGTTTTTTTAGCTAAATTGGCATCGGGAACCGCAAAATTTGTAGCCGCTTGACTGACAGGTATTTCTTTTTTCATTTAATGATGCTTCCATAACTTCATATTGTAATAAAATCTTTATTAATTTTTATGTCCTGCCCTGCTCTACTGTCCCCTTTTACCACATTGGGCGGTTTATTATTTTAGGTGGATGGTATTTGCTAAGTAAAGCTCTCGTAAAATTCTTCAATCTTCTCTCTATTTCTTCGTATGGTGTCTTTTAAGTCCCCTAAGTTTTCGCGAAACTCTTTTGTTTTAATGTTCTTCTTTCAACCCCATTTCTCTGAAGTTCTCTTCTTAAGTTACTTTCAGCTTCTCGTAGTAGTAACAAATACCTCTCACGTTCAACTCAAGTGTTCCTCAAGATAACCTCAATGTGCCAAAAATACCACTCAGGTTCTAATCAAATCCTTCTGCTCAAGTTCTTTTAAGATCTTTCACAAGTTCACTTTAAGTGAATTTCGAAAGGTTTCTCCCTTACTATCAAAGATAAAGATCTGTGGTTAATTAATAGGGTTTTTTCGTATGTTTGAAAAACATGAACTGTAGCCAATGACAATACCATTTATGTCGTTATTGTACTGTGATAATTTCCTAGGTCGACCTGTTTTATCACGGTAACATTCACGATTCTATTACGGAAAGCTTTTGATGCACTTTATTACCTACAGCGTTGCGAGGAATGCAAAAAAACTAGGGGGTGCAAATGGCTGGAGACTGGAGACCATGGGTCTTGCTTCAAGGACGTGTGATAAAAGTTTAGAAGAAGAGTGCGTTACGTTCAAATATCTCATTATCGAAACATATATGAAAATTCAATGCTATCTATAAACTTTCTTGATTTTAAGGAAATTAAGAAAAGTTAAGAAAGAGCGTGGATGTAATTTTAAAAGAAACAAATGAATTTTAAGAGAACTTAAGGGGAAGTTGAAAGAAATATAAGGGGAAACTTACAAAGTAGTAAAGAATTATAGGAAAACTTGAGAGGAACTTTATTCGAACTTGAACGCGAAATGGTCACGAGCATTGAAAAGAACAATTGTTCACATACACCAAGCCGTGAGTTGAAATAAATAATTGGAAAAATAGTAATATAAATAATAACAATAAGTAAGTTTATGAGTTTCGATTTTACTCTTGGTTACAAATGTCAATATCATATAAAGTACAGAACGTAATCAAGATAAGGAGGTGAATTGGGAATAGCTACAGTATAACTATTTAAGAACGTTAAACAATGGGTGGTAGATGGGACTACCGTCAAAGCTACGGTACACATTTTTTCAACCTTCCATTTAGAAGCTGCGTCCTCAAAGCTCAAAGATTTGTAGTTCTTCCATTTATTCTCAGCAGCAAGGAAGCATTTTCGACTGCCGGTCAAAGATAAAAAAAACTAAACTTGAACCACATGCACTTCTACCGTTAACATTTTATCGAATTTTTCTAGTATCTATAGTCATAAAGAACTTAAGATGTTCAGAAATAAAAGTTCGTTAAGATACAGTGATTTATTTATCCCTTTTATGATGATGCCTGCCACGAGTATTAGGTAAATTGTGGCAGCACCGTTTGATATTTCGTTTCAATGATGGGTTATATCAGTTGGTATGTAAATTCATACTTTCTTAGTAATGATCAAACGTTTCGTTTAATAAATTCCCCCCATGCGTATATAGCATAATTAGCCGTAAAAGGGACACTCTTTTCAATCCTGTGAAGAAGAATGCTAAACAAAGAACTTTGAAGTTTCTGGCACACTTCTGGCATGCTCTCTTTAAGCAAAGTCTAGAATATTCCACTCTCAATGGATCCTACAATAGAATAGAAGAAAAGGATCTATGCAGCGGTTTTGACGGCCTTGTGACGGCACTTAGTTTGGTCTCCAATTTACAAGTATGCAACAAAATTGCTTACATACATGTAGAAATATTTTGCTGCTCTACACAATACAAACTTTAGTAAAAAATGTATTAATTCTATAGGGTGTTCGAAATTGATTCATGATTACAATTGGAATGAAACAATTATCAAGGTGGTAATAAATAATTGGAATCTTTTAAAAACATTGAGTTCAAACTCTCGGAGGAGAGTTTAACGTGGTGAATGGTGTCACGAAACAGAAATTTAGAATCAAGTATGTAGCCCTTACTTCTTTATCATCAATGGAACAAGTGCTATGCAAGTGCCCCCTAGCAAAAGAGAATATTTCTTGGGGCGAATCTTCCGGGGCGAATTTACGAAGCCGAATGTAGATGGACAAATTTTCTTGTAATCGAAACATCCCCTAAACCTAAAATTTGATCTTGGATGCTTAGTAATTAGGTGCTGTCTCCGTAATTACTTTTAAATGTGATAAATTGAAATTTATTAATGAAGATATTCAGCGGGGTTTCATACAGATTTGCCTTTGAATGAATTTATGAATAGCTGGAGGTGTACCTTTATAAAACCTATATGCACAAATATTACGATTAAGACTAAGGACGAGATTTTCTCTACATTTGGAATGGCGATATCATTATCGTTATAAGGCAATGTATTCCAATCTAGTAGGAAATTATACAAACGATCTTCCGCTTAAGTTAACTACGTACTAACACTGTCAAGACGGTTTAACGCAATTCTATAATGTGTATGAAGTACATTCCATTCTGCTGCGAAATCTACACTGAATCTGAAACATCATATTCTGAAAGCTATGCTCATTTATTAAGGCCTTAGTAGTATTTTTATTCAATTCGGCTTAATTTACAATAAAACAGCACAATTTACGGAGAGGTGTAAGATTGGGCGTACCTGCAATGCAGCTCTATATCCGGTACAGAGCGGGTGCTATTTTCTTCCAGGCAGAGGGAGCCATCCTCCTCGCTGTCAGAAAATACGGAAAGCTGCGGATGGTGCGATGATACTAAGAACGTCGTACATTCCTGACGCATCAAAACGGGCTTTGAGCAGTTTGCCGGAGAAGATGCCGTCGTTAAAGGGGGCCCACCAACTAAAAGGCTCGCCGTCTCGTCTTGACTACTCATTATATCGCAAGGCCTATCTTTCAGTTAATCCTATAAACAAGAAAAACAAACATTAATACCTTCCACGTCCTCACTTATACCATCATTAGCTAACTTTACGCAAAATAAATTTAAAATCGCTTACTACTAAGGGATGAAACTACAGTTATCATATTTTGTTGATCACGTTAGTATTTTTTTATCTAATTAAAATCACCCCTCTTAAACTCATTTGCTTTTATTTTAAGTACGACATCCTACAATTACTTTGAAACTATAATACGTTTTTGATAAACGTTCTTAGTTACTTTGTTTTTCAGAAATTCGTTATGGTAACCGCATAATTTAATTACAAGTTTTTGTTTCTCTTTCCTTTTCGAGTCCACATTTTTTAATGTTCCCACACCTTTTATTTTAACAATGTGCACAGGAATTTTTCATTTTCCCTTGCAAACAGCTCATTTTCTAATTAAATATGAGCACGTTTTACAGTTTTATATTATAATCTTGCAGAAAGGTTACGTGAACACAGTAAATCAAATAAAAAGAACAATGGATACGAATTTGCTATTAGAGAATGAAATGTAACGCGGAAAATTACAAGCACAAAAGAAAACACGGAGTATAAGGGAGTTTGCGGAAAATCAAAGTCAGAAAAATTGCAAAGTAAAAGTTACTTTCAACTACTCAAGCAATACAAAAAAACAAATTAGATGGAGTATTTTAAAACGAATCACAAAATGAATGGTTACATAGTGAACAAATAAATAAGAAATAAAATAAAGTACAAGAGGAGATTACACGTTAGTCTCCCACGGTTAAATGGATATGCTCGATCTACAACCAAGACAGTTCGTTGGTCGAATTCGCGTTTCGCATACATGTTGATAAGCAAGAGATGACAGACTCCCACCCAAAAGTAAAAATAAAATAAAAGTTCTAATCTTTGAAAATTTTTTTTGATTTTTTTTTACCTTAAATGCTCACTTAGGGGTTACCTGAAAAATGTTCTATTGCTCTGTTCTTTTTTCATCTGGATTTTGAGGCTAAATTATCTCTAAATTCTTCGCAATCAAAAACCAAATGTCTTCCGCCGTTTCCATAATCATAATTTTATTCCTTATATATTTTCCCAATTTTAAACTAATAACCTTTAAATAGGCCGCGATTTGTTATTATTTGTTTTGCACTTCGATTTAGTTGCTAATACATATTTTGTCAGAAAGTCTCTTTTCCCTTCTCCCAATCCTTGTATCAAATATTGATAGGAAGTTCACGTATTTATTTTTTGAATTGATTTAAAGATCTTGATTTCCTGCTTAATTTTCAGATGTACTTATAATGAGTATACTTGATGGCCACAATTATATGATATCATGATATAATTTTGAATCATTTTAAATGTATTGGGATTATACTTATTTATAATATTATTTTAATGGTATTTTTAATAAGATTGTAGTTGATGTACTTTTGAAGACATTATAAATTTCATTAATTATGGCATTGTGTGACTAATAATACGATTTCTTGCAATACAAACTCTTGAACTATTTTTTTCCCTTTTTCGAGATATTTTAATTTAATCCTTTACTTTCTTGTACAGTTATATCTAAATATTTAATTTTCTCCTTCCATTTTATTCCGTTTTCCGTTAATTTTATTGTGGAAATTATCCATTTCTTATTTTAAGAGAATATAAATGTAAAATTTTTAATTAATGCACCAACCTTCTAACGTATGATCTTGTCCGAATCTAAATTTCCCCAATTGCCCTACCGTATACTGATGAGGAAAGGAAAGAAAAGCGTAGCAGGAACAGTAATACACCAAGCCGGAAAAATTACGAGGAAGGAAAACAAATAAACACTTCGTGCGGTCCTTAACATCGAAATAGAAGACGAGCAAAATACAAAAGAACTAGCAAGGGAAGTAAGAATAGGAATGTAGAAACTACGAATTAATTAGAGCAATGTATAGGATAAAGAACGGAAAAGCATCAAAATAGATAAAACAATGAAATAGTGCAAAAGAAGTAAACCGCGATCTAAAGGAAAAAATGGAATACACTAAATATTCGCCCAGTTTCTTTAAAAGCAGTTTCTACACGTTGTGTTCATGTTAACGAACTAAAATGTGTGCTCTTCCTGTTTTGTTATGTTTTGGGTAATTTAGTTATTGAGGCGCGATGGATTTATTGCCTCGATGCGAAAATATAGATTTTTGGATAATTTTGGAAAAAAACAAAAAACACTCGCATTTGTCGATATGGGGTAAATTTGATACATTGATACATTTCCCATCAGTTATTTTGGTGAATTAGTCATTTAATTGGAATAACGCTCAATAATCTGATTTTGAAGCATTTCTGGCAGTGGCGGAAATCCAAGTTTATTGGATTGTTCAACGGAGGTAGTCGCTATCACATGGGTACAGCGCATATCAAAAACAATTTGAGTTTGATTACCTCCATGCAGGAGGTGAATCAAAAGGTCGTTGCTACTTTTAAATATTTTTATTTAATATTATTATTATTATTTTCTGACTCCGGTAGAAATTAGTCAGAGGAATGCAGAAAATGCGGATGTCGAGGTTGAGTTTTTAATGCAAGTGCTTGTAAAGGCGCTCAAAATCGAAAAAAACTCAACAGTTTTAACGTGAATAACATAATTTCGGTGATTGGGGTTTGAACCCGAAATGATATGTCAAGCAATAAAATCTTGCGAGTGCAGTGACTACTACTCCAATTTAATAGCGAATTGAGAAAAGTATGTATATTAAAATTCAACTTCCGTTTCAAAACGATCTCTACTCATAATATTGGCATGAAAAAATCTAATAAAAAAACACATAAATGTAAGAAATCTCAACGAAAACATTACGTAAGCTGCGATTCTACGTCCAACTCTACAAAATAAACATTATAGTGGAAATAGACACATAATTTTCTACTTACCTCCATTCTTCCTTCGTAAAGGAGATTTAAGGAATAAACGAACCATCATTTAATGCACTAGGAATTCGGTTATGTTCACAACTCAACATTTTTGTGCACTAACCGGGATTATCTAAGAATAAGGGGTTGTGCTTTTATATTACAAGTGTGATGCGAGGTACTTATCAATATGCAAGATGCATTAATGTGGAAGGCGTGCTGATTTAGGGTGATCGTGCCATTAGGTACACGTGTTAGGGGTACAAGCTTATCTAAGTGTCTATTAACTAAAACTACAAACTAATGTTATTTCTAGCAGCAATTCATTTATTTACAACTGACTGGTAAACCGTTCACTATGACCTATTTACATACAGTTTGTGTTAAATGTTTACACAATAGAGTCAAATTATTGTGGTATTGGTCAAACAACACATGCAAATTTGTGTTAATGTTATTTGTAGGTATTTTTCGCTTAAACACGCACACGTTTTTATACGGTTTTCAAGTTTTGAAAACTTTGGTCTACACAGCAATAGCTTCTTTAATAGGCAATACAACAATTATCAAGCTAACAAAATTCTTCAAACATAATCGCCGTCAATATTTTCATTGTTTGATAATAGATTCAAATGCAAATTATGTATTCAGTTACGAAAATAGAATAGATAGATAATGAATGTGAATGTGTAATGTCAGTGGAAAATGAAAGCTTTCCGAATCACCGGCTTGAGAAATTGACTGTTGAAACAATATCTTTTAACGAAGACTACGAGTTCTAGCACTCTAAAGGTAAACGTAGATTGTAACATAGGTACTCAATTTTGTTTTGTTTTGTCTCTTCACCGAATAACCTTTTCGTTATTGTAAACTTTTATTTATTACCATTAACCAATTTAGCACGTGCAACCAGGCAGCATAACCAAACTCAATATAGGAGCGAAGAACTTCAAGGTTCTGCACCTTCTAACCCACGTTATTCACGGCTTAGAAATGGTCACTCAAACCATGCGCACCAAATTTGTCCACGTTCAAGATAGGGGCAATTTTACGCTGTTTACCGGAAATCTGCGAAAAACTGGTACGGCACCAGATCTTTATCTCCAGAACAGCGTGCACCCAGCCCATTCGAGGAGTCTCGTCGTCCTCCGTACATGACTTGTCGGGATTTATTTTCCGAGGCAATTACGACGCAAATAAGTAGTATCTAAAAATATTCAAAAAATGTTCTTAAGAAGATTCCCAAAATCACGGTTTCTAAGAAAACATTCCTAAGCATAACGAATTTCTAAATTGATTTTCTGGGGATGCTATTAAAGTTATTTTTAGTTAGAAGACTGTTAACCCAAAAGACTGCTAAAAACCTAGAAACCACAAAAACGAAGGTGCTTCGTAGCATGCTGTGAAAACGCTGCTACACAGAGAGAGAGAAGCGATGTAATATAAGACACACATGTGAAGTAGAAGACATTAATAATTGGGCGCGGAAAAGAAAGAAAGAATCGAACGAACATATCAACAGGATGTAGGATAGAATAATTGTACGAATTGCCCGTGACAAATCACCAAAAGGGCACAGAAACGTAGGGCACCCCAGAAAGAGGTGGATATCTGTTAGGTCTGTATTCCATCTGGCTGTTTGCAGTTTTCACCTTTTATAGCCTTCACGGTAAATATGATAGCGTATCCTTGTGAATCAAAGTGTATTCGAATAGGCATGCGGTCACCACCGTAGATTAGAGGCAGAGGTTTCCAGTTGAGGTTTGGTCCTATTTGGTTGCTGCTAAAAGTCAGAGCTATAAATGAAAATGTTTGCGAGCCGGTATCAAAGTGAGTTGGGTTTCCGGTGTTTAGGAGAACCAGTTTATCGTTATCAAAAAATATTTTTTCTAAGTTTCGTCCTTTTTTATCAGTAAGGTTTGAGCCCCATATGATATTGTGGGCGTTGATGTCTCCGGTTATTTTAACGGGGTTGGTAGCTGTTTAATTACGTTTTGAAGAGCATAAGGAGGGCGAAAATGAAAATATAGTAGAGTAAATAATGTTCCTCATCTAAAATTCAAAAGTGGTAAACAAGTAAAAATCGCATAGAGATGGCAGGATTTACGCGATCAGA